ATATATACATTTGAATAACTAAAAAATCATAATCATAAATTACTACATTAATACCATATAATTCTACAACAATTTATCAAGCTTAGTAACTAAGCTTTATCTGGGTCTAAAATAAATTATGAAATATCGAGCAGACCAAAGACACAACCTACCTCATTGAAAGCTTCGTTCACAAGAAAAAAATGGCAGAAGGAATGTTAGAAAGGCTGAGAAAACCACTAGGGGGATATTCTGAGCTTCTGATTGGTTATTTATGTCATTTGTAATTTGAGTTCCTAGTTCGTATGAAACTATAGACTTAGTATTTTGACTTCACAAACATCCAATTTGAACCAGTGCTGCATTCAACATACCACGTGGCACAAAAAAATCGATGAGTATCTGTGTTTTTTTAATATTTACTTTTAAATTAACAAATTGAGTAATGTATAGTTCTAAAATTTGAATTATAATCTACAGTTTGATACCAAACTTAGTGAGATAAATTCATGAAATAGTAGTTCAATAAAATTTTGAATGTGAGTCAACAAACGAGATGACATAGCCTTTCACCTGTGACCCGTATTGAAAGGGTTAAACCATGTGAACCGAGAGGGTGTGTAGGAATAAAAAGCTTGTGTTTTGCAAAAAAAACTTTACAAACAGAGGGCAGCACATGAACGAGAATAGCCATGTGTATGAGTGGAAGTAAAGTACTTTGTTGGAATACAAAAATTTGTGTAATAACTCAGCTGTTAGAGATATTAAAGATAATCTAAAATTTTAGTGTAATAACTCAAATATTAGACACTAAAGACAATCTAGAAATTTAGTGCAAAAACTCAGATATTAAAGACAATATAAAACTTAGTGTGGTAACTCAACTATTTCAAACACCACAGACTATATAAATTATAAAATAATAACTCTGCTATTATAGACACAACAGATTATATAAAACTTAGTTTAATATCTCAGCTATTTCAAATACTAAATATTATAAAAAATTAATTTTAATAACCCAGCTGTTACACTGCTAACAATATAAAACTTGGTGTAATAAGTCAGCTATTTCAAACACTATAGACAGTATAAAGTTTAATGAAATAATACAGCTTTTTATATAGATGAAGTACAAGAAAAGACACACCCATGTATTACTACAACTATAAAAAAAATGAAACTTACCCTAAGAACCCAGCTATTAAAAACACCAGCCAGATGTTTCCTGCAGGAAGTATGAAGGTGTAAACCAACATTCCCACCAGGGACAAAAAATAGGTTACAAAGGTTGTTTCTCTGTATATAAAAAAAGAAGAGAGAGAATTTGTAAAATGATAATTTAACTCATCATTTTCTTTAAGACAATATAACTTTCTTTTACTACAAAGAGTTTTTAGTAATAATTTATATTTGGTGAAGGAGATCTATAATACACAAATTAAAACAGATATTGAGGTATGAAGAAAGCAATGATTACAATTTTAACAATTCTCTAATTAAAATATCATTTGTTTAGAAACAAAACAACAACAATGAGCAATAATCAGAAAGGAACAGAGACTATGTACAAATATTTCTTTAGAGTTATGTCACAGTAATAGAGTAGAAACCTTTCCAAAATCATTTTGATGGTGACTGATAACTCATCTGAATGGTAACTGATAGTAATATAGCATTATCTCTGATAAAATCCCAATATACCTAAATGCTTTAACAATGTTTAGGCAGTACTTAGCATCCACATCTGACAATATCAATTCAAATAAGTTTCTTCATTGTCTTGGAGATGAGTTACAATATCAAGCTATAAATCAAGTGTTTTTGAAATGTAGGGTCTTCCAATCAAAAGTTTTCCAACAGTTTGAATTATTAATAATTTACAAATATAAAACAAATCCCTCATACAATGTAAATAGATGTGCAAGGAAAAACAGTATTGGACATTCTGAAAATTTTAGTCACTAAATTTCTAAGCCTAAAATAATGACTTATCTAAATGTCAATAAGTAGTATTACCTTTAAACAATGACCAATTAAATGAGTAATGTGATATTTATAATAATAAAAATAACTGCAAGTTATACATTTTGAAATATTATACCTAAAACATTTATATAAATGTAACTGGATAAAAACAAAAAAATTCTAATATTTTCTACAGTCAGATAAAAGAATAAGGGAAGAAGCAGACTGTAAACCACTTTTATGAAGAATCTCATCATTTTTATGTTAGAAATTATATAAAATACAAGTCTAACCATGTTTTCACAGTTCTAATGACAATCATGTTTCTTCCTCCACAAAAATTACACTGGAATTCATCATAAACAGTAGATTTTCAAGTTTTAATCATTCAAGTTACGACAAATATACTTAAGAAATAGACAAGTTTAACTGTTACATTTGAATTTTGTATTAAATATCAAAATATTTTCTTAGCTGAATTTCTCATATAAATATTTAGCTAGTTAATAAACTATTTTTTGGTATAAAAGAACTTAATTGGATCTCTGAGAGGCACAGCAACAAGATAGTATGACTTGTGTCTTGTGCAAACATGCTAATTTGACTTACTTGAAACTGTGTACTTGTCTAAACATAATAACACATCTCCATGATATTGTGATATAAATGAGCTTGTGTTTTGACTAAAATGTAACCATACACCAAAATATCATTATTTTATTTTTTAAGGCAGATTTTTCAGAGGGTAGACTGTGCCATTTTGCGCCCCTGTGGCTACGGCACTGATCCACACATACACAACACACCATAACTTACTTCAACCTATGTGTCTTGTCTAAAATACATCCACACACTCACAAGAAACTATAACTTACCTGAATCTATATGTCTTGTCTGAAATACATTCACATACCCATAAAATACCATAATTTACTTTTACCTATGTGTTTTCTCTAAAATATATAGAAAATACTGCAACTTACTTGAACCTATGTGTTTTATCCAAAATGAAACCACACACAACAGACCCAATCATACCAGCTAATACAATGAGAAGTCCAATCCAACCTGCATTTGTTTCTTCTCCCTTAATAAAATAGACTTGTATTTTTGAAAAATATTTCATTATAAGGACAGTCTGTTCTTAATTTACTCAAAATATAGAACATCATTAAGTAGTTTATGTTTTCTAATATGCAAATCTTTTGTTATTTGATACAATCCAAATTGTATTAATGGCAAATATATAAATGATTTTATATGCAGTCAATACATTTCTATTTATTACATTCTTTGCCACAACACTTACACAGGAATTATTGTAAGAAACTAAACCTGTGATTGTGTTGAAATGAACATGTCTTAAGATAACAACCATAGCTACATTACAATAATGTGAGCAACATTTTTAGGAATTTTTAATCTTATGAAAAACTGCAAAGAGTGTAGAACAATTAAAAATTAGTCGATATTGTGTATTGTGTTTAATTAATATTTGTTATATTGTGACAAATATAAACAAATAGAAAGTTAAAAAATTGTAACATTTGTTAAAAAAAGTTATAATTTTCCTATGCAGAAAATGTATTTCCAATAGGTACTTACCTCCTCTCACATATATAGCTATTCTCGTTCAGTGCTGCCCTCTATATGCAAAAAATGTTTTATGCATGCCACAAGCCTTTTATCTTCCCTCAATTGGAATTGACTGATTCCAATGCGTCTCTCATATAAATCATCATGCGACAACCCTCCACCAATAAGAGTGTGACATACTCTCATGATGTATGTGACATCCTCTATTCAATTCTACTGAACTATCACTTTGAGTTTTGGCAGAAGATGGAAGCACCGGTTTTCAATGGGAAGGAAGGGTGGGAAGTATGAGAGGAGGTAAGTACCTATTGGAAAACATTTTCAGTATAGGAAATTTATAACTTCTGATACAGTACATTACCTCCTCTCACATGAATAGCTAGAATCCCACATTGAATAGGTGGAGGGACTGGCGTGAGGGAAAGAAAGAAGCATCCTTCTTCGAAAGTAGCTGAAGGACATTCCCTAAGATGAGACAGTCAGATTCTAAAATCTGATGTTGGGGACCTCACCACTTCTGAACCAGGTATACTCTTTGCCCATCGTAGAAAGATGTCGCACATATGTGTGGAAAAACATAGGAGCACTTTCAAGTAGGAGAGAACTAAGGTTGGATAGTGATCTGAACATACAATATTTATGAAACTTTATCCCAGAAAATGTAAATATGGGTAAAATGAAAAGGATGTGTCCTAGGTGTAGAGTGGCTTGGGTGCAACGGGCCATACACAGCAATTCAACTACATCCAAAACCCATGCAGCTGGGAACTGACATTTATACAGGGGGTAGGATGAAAATCATACCATCAGTAAGTCAACTACAACTCAAAACCTGGCCACTGGGTATGAACATCCATGTGGGGATAGGAAAGAGGATCATACCATTGGCAAGTTGACTACAATCCAAAACCCAGGCTACCGGGAACTGACATCCATGTGGGGGTAAGAAAGAGGATCATACTATCAGTAAGTCAACTACAATCCAAAACCTGGCCACCAGGAACTGACATCCATGTGGGGTTAGGAAAGAGGATCATACCACTGCCAAGTCGACTACAGTTCAAAACCCAGACCACCGGGAACTGACATCCATGTGGGGTTAGGAAAGAGGATCATTGAAATTGACCAGAATTGCTCCAAGCACAGTAACATCCTAAAAAAAAATAAGAATCGAGGGATAGTGGAAGGGGAAGAACCATAATAATCTGCAAGAACCTCCACTGTGACCCACAAAACTGATGGAATAACAAGAGTTTAAATGAAGAAGGAATACAGACGTCTGTAATACAAGTGTGAAGATTTATGTTGATTGGTTCAACTCTAAATCCAAAACCCAGCCATTGGGAACCAACATCCACGTGGGGGTAGGATGATGGATCCCATTCGAAGGGGTGAACTGCAATTTTGACAGCTCACCCCAATTTATTTTTGTTTCATATTGGAGGATATCACATCATCTACACCAGCAGAACACCACTGCCCTACTTTCAACTGAATGGTTTTATAATCATTTCTATATTTTGTTTGCATTTCATTAGCCCATTCAGAAGGATGCCTCTACGGTCCACCACCCTAGCAGCTTGGAACTGGAATGTGGTAAGGACTCTCCACCTCCACTAGAATCAAAAAAAAAGATGGGGGATGTGGTGAAGCATCCGGAGAAATAAAAACACCCGAGACAGTGCAATGGGTGACCACAAAACCCTATTTTTAAAAGCAGACCATACCAATTTATTCAATATAAGGCATGGCAGAGATGAGCAACTACCCAACCAACAAGCGAGCTTGTGGAACACTCCATCTCTATAGTGTACATTGCGTGGGCATGGAAATATAAAGTGTAAGTCGACATGGCTTTACAGTGCGGATGTGATTGGTTAAAGAATATCTGGTCAGGCACCACTCACCACAGAGTGGGATCCAAACAATGAGTAATAATAAAAAGGGAAAAAGGCTCCTGAAAAGAAAATGAAGAATAATAAAAATAACTTACTCAGTCAAAGTCTCATTGAAGTATGAAGAATGGCTACAGGAAGACGATGATAGCCCAAAGAAGAAGAAGCCGTGACCCTATGCAAATTGCGAATGTATTAGGGGTAGTCCACATGCCGATTGAAGAATTTCCTCCAAGGAATGACAAAGATGAGCTGCCAATGAAAAGCTAAGGTGTCGAATTTGATGAGATGACACCCAGAACAAAGTACGAGAGGAAGACGATAAAGAGGAATATGCCACTTGAATTAAAAGTCAAACCCAATTGGTGAGGGAGGAAGGAGAAAGATCATGAACAGAAGATAGCTGCCAAGGAATAAAGAGGCAGGAAGGGACACCACAGAAGGAAGCCGTGCAGGCAACATAAAGGCAAAGAGTACATACAGGATATAGAAGTCTATACGGATCAGATCGAAGATAAAGGTGGGAAATGGAAGGAAGGGAAATTGGTGAAAAGAGAAATTATCTTCACGATCTGTGAAAGTTTTGGAGAGGAAAGAACAATCTGGGATAAAGGAGAAGATATGTAGAATGATAAAGAGTACATGAAACACTGATGGCAAATAAATCAGAACTTCGATATCCACAGGCCTAGAGGAGAATGAAATAAATCTTAAGGGAAAGGTGAAACAAGAAGCACTTGGAGAGTGGTTCAAACGGAGGCAAAGTGAGGCACTGAAGGACCACATTAACATCCCAATCTGGAAGGGCAGCCTGGTGTGGCAACTATGAATTTGGAAGGAACACATTAACAAGGCAAAAGTAGGAGAGGTAAACACCCTACGGTATCGGGAAAAATGAAAGGTGTTGGACAAGGCAAAAATATTGATATGAGGAGTACCCCACTGAAGGCAAAGCTACTGGAAAACAAGAGTGTCGAGAGACCACATTGTCAGATTGACTTTGTCTGGATAAGAAAGCTGATCCACGACAAGACTGAAAACATCCTGGACCTGGCATGCAATGATATGAATATCTAGCAAAAAAGATCCACCATATGAATACAGAGTGATCAAAAACAGGTGGCACCCTGGTGATTGAGATAAGCAACCACTGTAGAACTGTCGAAATGGATCATTACCAGATGATTTCTGGCCAGATGGAGAAAATGAACCAAAGCATGACAGACAGTGAGAAGCTCCAAGATGTTGATATGATAAGACCTCTCAGTCCCAGACCAATACCCTGAAGCTTCCTGTTGATCAACCCACACTCTCCCATCCCTGTCAAAGGATCCCTCGTGAGATTTCACTGATCATAAAGAGCCTACTTAAGAGCCCACATACAAGCCTGACCTGAGGAGATAAGGACTGCCATGGAAGACCACATCCCCAAAAGTGATAGAACCTCGCATGCTGTAACAGAGGGAGCATTAAGAGTGTGGAGAACTGAAAGCTTTATCAAATGAAATCGAAGAGGAGAAGGTTGGGCCCAACTGAGATTGGTGTTGAAAAAAACACCAAATGGACAAGAACAAAATGAAGAATGGGTCACAACTGACGAGATATCGGCATATGCAAATAAGCATTCATAAGTCCATCTTGGTCATCCATAAACATTGAAAAAAAGCCCACCTGAGGGTGAGAAACGACTACATGGTGAAACAGGGCAGATTGGGAAATTCATTGGACAAATTTATTACAGATCGCCAGTTTCTGGTTTTCTTGGCAACAACAAACACCCTGGAAAAAAGCCTGGAGAAAGATGATGAAGAGGTTTGAAAGCCTGTTGAGACAGAAGGTCTTGTATCACCTCTGAAAGATGCTGGCTGGTGGTAGAATCCCAAGGTATGGGGAAGGAAATGGGTACCTGAGACAAAGTGGGGGAAGAAATTGTAGGGAAAGTCCCTCTGATAAAACCCAAAGAACCCATGGTAAGCTAATGCATACTGATCCATAGCCCATGAAGGGCAAGGCATGTTGGCACCCTCAACCAATTATGAAGCAAGTTGCTCAGCATGAAACCTAATATCTGGTGATAGTGGGAAAACTAAATATGGAGAGGAAGAACTATCATGGGGATCATAGGGATTCAGGGAAATGGATAAAACATCACATACCTGAGAAATCATGTCTAAAAATGTGGTATTAGCTGATTCTCCAGCAGATGGGGCATAGGAAGACATGGTAGAATTCGGTGGTGGAAAAAGGCTATCAAAATCTTTATTGGCCCAAATAGGTTTGGCTTGCTCAAAAGGAAGTGGGGCAAGTTCGGGAGAAAAAGGTTGACCCATATAACGATCACTCTCATGGCAGATAACGCAGATGAATCCAATGATGGGTCTCCTCCACCTGCAGCCTCAGAAATAGTACTAGTAGGAGGTATGATACTCGAAGTAGTAACTTGAACCTCAGAATTCATTGTAGAAATATATATTAAACAAAAGTGTTTGATGTAAAAAAAATTCAAGTGTGAGAAAAAAATAAAGACTGGGAAATGAAGTTAAAGTAAAAGACTTCTTCAATGTAAAGAGAAAAAATATTAATGAAGAAATCCCACTTCAGAAATTAGATGATTAAAGTCACACGAATCACACTAAGTGCACCAAATAAAAAAAACTTCTGAACACAAGTACTGCCAAAAAAGAAGTGATAGAGAACAAGAATTGAATAGAGAGAATCACATGCTTCATGAGAGTATGTCGCACTCTTATTCATAGAGGGATTGTTGCATGATGATTTACATGAGAGATGCATTGGAATCAGTCAATTCCAACTGAGAGGAGATAAAAGGCTTGTGGTATATGTAAAAAAAAAAAAACAATTTGGATATAGAGGGCAGCACTGAACGAGAATAGCTATTTATGTGAGAGGAGGTAATGTACCATATCAGAAATCAACAATTAATGACAGTTAATAAACATATAAAATATTTCCTAACAGTTGACCATCTACAGTACATCCAAATATTATAAAATATTTATAAAAAAAAGATATGAAAAAATAGCCAAACCATACAGAAAATGCTATACTTACAGGATAATGATAAAGAACCATCTGATTAAGCAATGTAGAAAGAGCATAGAACACTCCTACGTTGATACCTAAGAATATCAATTTGTATTTAAATAATACATATATCATGCAAACATATACGTTCATGACCCAAAATTAGGTGTACTTAAGTACATTATAATTTTAAGAAACACCGATTTAATCAAAAAAGTCAAATAAATAAAATTAGTTTCTTCTAATGGTATGGAACAAAAAAAAAAAAGAGATAATCGGTGAAGCACAAAAACAATTTTCTATGTACACTATAAACCCAATACAAAAACAGAAACTGTTCAACAAAAAATACTTTTTATATATATATATATATATATATATATA